CGGTCTCTGCCAAAGTGCACGGCAGCGCCGACGTGTGGAGCTGTAACTAACTACGGTCAGGGACAGTACATGTCATTTACGGCCCACTGGGTGAACGTGGTGCCGGCACAGCCGCACCAGCAACTTGGACAGGTCACGACGCTTTTGCCTCCACGTTTGCACGTCCTTGGTCCAGCAAGCATGTCCGCCTCTACCACCTCTTTTTCCGCCGTGTCCTCAGCAGCCGCCACCCCCGTGCCGTGCCAAGTCCCATTACCCGACCGGCATATCACATGTGCAGGGCGCAACGGTGTCACGCTGTGCTGCACCTGGTATGCCTTGGCGAACGTAGTCACACAGGGGAGGAACTGCTGAGTGTAATGAACAGAGAAATCGACAGATGGCTGTCTCCGCGCAAACTAAAAATCGGAACCATGTTGACTGACAACGGAAAGAACATGGTGTCTGCTCTGCGTCAAGGAAGGTTGTGCCATGCGCCATGCATGGCTCACGTGTTCAATCTGGTTGTCAAGCGGTTCCTAAAATCCACCATCCCACTGCAAGACATCCTTAAAATGTCACGTAAATGTGCATGCATTTCAGCCATTCCTACACCGCAAAGAACACCCTCATTGAGCTGCAGCGGCAGAACGGAATTCCACAGCATCGCCTGATCTGCGACGTTGCAACAAGGTGGAATTCAACCCCCTACACATGTTAGACCGCCTTTACGAGCAGCAGCGAAAGGCCATCACCGATTTCCTGATGTTACAAGCGGATAAAGGTACTCCCCTGTGTAACTTAGATGTCAGCCATTGGCAGCTCATGCGTGACACCTGCCGCTTGCTCAGGCCCTTTGAGGAGGCCACGCTATTCGTGAGTCGGCAGGACTATGGGATGAACGACGTCATTCCTCTGTTGCACGTCCTGGAACAAATGCTGTTTAACAATGGCTGGTCAGGGTGCGGTAGACGTGGCGCACAGATCTCAACGCCACATGACCCTGTGTGGGGGCAGGACAGGAAGAAGAGAGGAGGAGGTAGAGGAGGACATTTGTGCTCAGGAATTATTGAGTGAAATGGGTGGTTTTTCCACTCAGCGGACAGGAGTGGAGGAGCAGGAGCATCTGGTAGAGGAGGAGGAGGAGGAGACAGAGGACCCAGACGCACCGTGGCAGTATGCTGTGGAGATGGAGGCAGGGAGTCCCTCGCATTCCTTGGCACAAATGGCCCATAGCATGCTCGGTTGCTTGCGTAGCGACAGCCGAATAATAACCATCAGACAGAGGGATGACTTTTGGCTGTCCACCTTGTTGGACCCTCGCTACCGGTCCAAAATGGTGGCCTTTTTCACACCTGCTGAGAGGGAGGCCAAAATTACGTACTATAAAAACCACCTATGTAGTCAGTTGGTCTCTGCCTTTGTGCGCCAACGTCCATCCTCAGACACTGTGGGCCCTGTGCGCTCGCGTTCCGCTGGCATGGCAGCAGGGGAGGGGTGGGGTAGGAGGTAGGAGCAGTGGCAGCTCCACCAGCAGTGGCTGCCTCAGTCTGCAGTCGATGATGAGTAGCTTTCTTCACCAGCGCAGTGAGGAAAACTACTAACCAGCCGCAGCAGCAGCAGCAGCAGCATCAGGTGGACCTGGAGCAGGAGCTCAAAACAACAGGCTTGGGCCTACTTGGACAGCACCCTGCCAACCGAGGTAGACAATCCCCTTGACTACTGGGCAACGAAACTTGACCTTTGGCCCCAACTAGCTGAATTTTTGCCCTTGAAAGGCTGTCATGCCCATGCAGGCGGCCAGTAGCAGTAGCGTGGCATCGGAGCGCGTGTTTAGTGCGGCAGGAGGTATTGTAACTCCGCGGAGGACACGACTGTCCACCCCAAAGTGTGGAGAGACTCACGTTTGTGAAAATGAATCAGGCGTGGATTAGTCTGGATTTCAAACCACCAGTTCCTGACACAACTGACTAAATCCGCCATGAATCATGCCTCAAACACTGTGCCACTTTCAGGTCTCCTCACACTGCTGGTGTGTTTAATTTTTTGACATAGGGTGCTGGCAGATTACGGGCCTCCTATAGCTGCTGCCAGGCCCCTAATCTGCCATGGGCCCCTATATACCGCCTCCTCATGCTGCTGCAGGTCCAGAGTCTCTCATGGGTCCCTGTACGGCCTCCCATTGCTGCTGTCTCCATCGCCACACTCTGCTGCCATGTGCCACTTTCAGGGTCTCTTCACACTGCTGGTGTGTTTAATTTTTTGACATAGGGTGCAGGCAGATTACGGGCCTCACATAGCTGCTGCCAGGCCCCTAATCTGCCATGGGCCCCTATATACCGCCTCCTCATGCTGCTGCCAAGTCCAGAGTCTCTCATGGGTCCCTGTACGGCCTCCCATTGCTGCTGTCTCCATCGCCACACTCTGCTGCCATGTGCCACTTTCAGGTCTCTTCACACTGCTGGTGTGTTAAATTTTTTGACATAGGGTGCAGGCAGATTACGGGCCTCACATAGCTGCTGCCAGGCCCCTAATCTGCCATGGGCCCCTATATACCGCCCTCCTCATGCTGCTGCCAAGTCTAGAGTCTCTCATGGGTCCCTGTACGGCCTCCCATTGCTGCTGTCTCCATCGCCACACTCTGCTGCCATGTGCCACTTTCAGGTCTCTTCACACTGCTGGTGTGTTTAATTTTTTGACATAGGGTGCAGGCAGATTACGGGCCTCACATAGCTGCTGCCAGGCCCCTAATCTGCCATGGGCCCCTATATACCGCCCTCTCTCATGCTGCTGCCAAGTCCAGAGTCTCTCATGGGTCCCTGTACGGCCTCCCATTGCTGCTGTCTCCATCGCCACACTCTGCTGCCATGTGCCACTTTCAGGTCTCTTCACACTGCTGGTGTGTTAAATTTTTTGACATAGGGTGCAGGCAGATTACGGGCCTCACATAGCTGCTGCCAGGCCCCTAATCTGCCATGGGCCCCTATATACCGCCTCCTCATGCTGCTGCCAAGTCTAGAGTCTCTCATGGGTCCCTGTACGGCCTCCCATTGCTGCTGTCTCCATCGCCACACTCTGCTGCCATGTGCCACTTTCAGGTCTCTTCACACTGCTGCTGGTGTGTTTAATTTTTTGACATAGGGTGCAGGCAGATTACGGGCCTCACATAGCTGCTGCCAGGCCCCTAATCTGCCATGGGCCCCTATATACCGCCTCCTCATGCTGCTGCCAAGTCCAGAGTCTCTCATGGGTCCCTGTACGGCCTCCCATTGCTGCTGTCTCCATCGCCACACTCTGCTGCCATGTGCCACTTTCAGGTCTCTTCACACTGCTGGTGTGTGTTAAATTTTTTGACATAGGGTGCAGGCAGATTACGGGCCTCACATAGCTGCTGCCAGGCCCCTAATCTGCCATGGGCCCCTATATACCGCCTCCTCATGCTGCTGCCCAAGTCTAGAGTCTCTCATGGGTCCCTGTACGGCCTCCCATTGCTGCTGTCTCCATCGCCACACTCTGCTGCCATGTGCCACTTTCAGGTCTCTTCACACTGCTGGTGTGTTAATTTTTTGACATAGGGTGCAGGCAGATTACGGGCCTCTCACATAGCTGCTGCCAGGCCCCTAATCTGCCATGGGCCCCTATATACCGCCTCCTCATGCTGCTGCTGCCAAGTCCAGAGTCTCTCATGGGTCCCTGTACGGCCTCCCATTGCTGCTGTCTCCATCGCCACACTCTGCTGCCATGTGCCACTTTCAGGTCTCTTCACACTGCTGGTGTGTTTAATTTTTTGACATAGGGTGCAGGCAGATTACGGGCCTCACATAGCTGCTGCCAGGCCCCTAATCTGCCATGGGCCCCTATATACCGCCTCCTCATGCTGCTGCCAAGTCTCAGAGTCTGTCATGGGGGTCCCTGTACGGCCTCCCATTGCTGCTGTCTCCATCGCCACACTCTGCTGCCATGTGCCACTTTCAGGGTCTCTTCACACTGCTGGTGTGTTTAAATTTTTTGACATAGGGTGCAGGCAGATTACGGGCCTCACATAGCTGCTGCCAGGCCCCTAATCTGCCATGGGCCCCTATATACCCGCCTCCTCATGCTGCTGCCAAGTCCAGAGTCTCTCATGGGTCCCTGTACGGCCTCCCATTGCTGCTGTCTCCATCGCCACACTCTGCTGCCATGTGCCACTTTCAGGTCTCTTCACACACTGCTGGTGTGTTAATTTTTTGACATAGGGTGCAGGCAGATTACGGGCCTCACATAGCTGCTGCCAGGCCCCTAATCTGCCATGGGCCCCTATATACCGCCTCCTCATGCTGCTGCCAAGTCTAGAGTCTCTCATGGGTCCCTGTACGGCCTCCCATTGCTGCTGTCTCCATCGCCACACTCTGCTGCCATGTGCCACTTTCAGGTCTCTTCACACTGCTGGTGTGTGTTTAAATTTTTTGACATAGGGTGCTGCAGGCAGATTACGGGCCTCACATAGCTGCTGCCAGGCCCCCTAATCTGCCATGGGCCCCCTATATACCGCCTCCTCATGCTGCTGCCAAGTCCAGAGTCTCTCATGGGTCCCTGTACGGCCTCCCATTGCTGCTGTCTCCATCGCCACACTCTGCTGCCATGTGCCACTTTCAGGTCTCTTCACACTGCTGGTGTGTTAAATTTTTTGACATAGGGTGCTGGCAGATTACGGGCCTCCCATTTGCTGCTGCCAGACATGTAATCTGCCATGGGCCCCCGTACCGACTCCTCATGCTGCTGTGACGTTGCAACAAGGTGTAATTCAAACCCTACATATGTTAGCTGCCTTTACGAACAGCTAAAGGCCATCACAGATTTTCCTGATGTTAAAAGCGGATAAAGGTACTCCCTGTGTAACTTAGATGTGTCAGCCATTGTCAGCTCATGTGTGACACCTGCTTGCTCAGGCCTTTGAGGAGGCCACGCTATTCGTGTGTCGGCATAGACTATGGGATGAATGGGTCAAATCGGCCATGGGCCCCGTACCGCCTGTTCACATGATGCTGGTCCCACAGTGTGACCTGGGTCCCTGTACGGCCTCCCATTGCTTCACACTCTGCCATGTGCCTCTTACAGGAAATCTCCTCACACTCCTGCGGTTGTCCATTTTGTCATAGGTTGCTGGCAGATTAGCGGCCTTCCATAGGTGCGCCATGGGGCCCCATCTATCGACCATGGGCCCCGTACCTCCTGGTCACGCTGCTGCTGAGAGTCCACAGTGTGACCTGGGTCCCTGTACGGCCTCCCCATTGCTTCCATCTCTGCCATGTGCCACTTTGAAATCTCCTCACACTCTGCGGTTGTCCATTTTGTCATAGGTTGCTGGCAGATTACAGGCCTTCCATAGGTGCCACCAAGCCCCATATCGGCCATGGGCCCCCGTACCGCCTGGTCACGCTGCTGCTGGGCCCACAGTGTGACCTGGGTCCCTGTACCGCCTCCCATTGCTCCCACTCTGCCATGTGCCACTTTCAGGTCTCCTCACGCTCCTGCTGGTTTCCATTTTGTCATAGGTTGCTGTATGGCCTCCCATTGCTGCTGCCTCCACCACCGCCACACTGTGGCTCCAAACACTGGTTTTGGCCCGTGACTGGCCAAAGGAGTGAAGTGTGCAGTTGATTCTAAGATCGACGGCACTCATCTGCATGTCATACTGACAGACAGTATTATTTCTCTTCCCCAGCAGACTCCAAGGGCATTTAAATTAAAGGTACAGTGTTCTGCACTAATATTAAGTCTCTCTGAAGCCTAGAAAACACCCTTTTTTAAGTTAAATTCACAGCGAATTTATTCTACCCTTCAAAACACAAAAAAAAGTAAACCATCCCAGATATGAAAATTTAGTACTAATAATCCAACACCTAAGTTTTTCTCTATTGTTGTTTCATATTCATCGTAACTCTTAAATAGCCATCATGCAGCAGCAAAATTATTAGCTGCCAAGTTTGCAATTATTTCTAATAGCAACTTTCATCACATTCATATTTAACATAAAAATAACGACAATAACAAAACAACGCAAATTGTCCATGGAGGTTGTAGTGTTCTTTTGTAAATCTTTCCAATCAACTATATACTAATGACGTTTGAATGGTTATCAATACATTACATTTTCTAGAAATAAACAAATGGTTAGTACAGAATCACATATTACGCAAGACACCAAAACATATGGCCCGCTTATTGTTGATTCATGAGTGCACTTACCCATATTTAATGAGCTTGTATCAATTCATTAATACATTAATTTTATTACCATGTGGATTTTCATTAAAGGGACATCCATCAAAAGTTGTCAATAATATACCATGTGGTTGAGATGATATTCACAGATTGGACCATATGTGCACAAACATTATACGTCACCATCCATTCTGATTTTTCTATTTCATCTGTTGTTCAATCCCATACAGTAGTCTTGGAAAGTCCTAAACTTATAAGGAACGGATCTGGTTCTTTCTGTGTTAACGAAAAAACTTAAAAACAGTGTTCTCTTCTAAAGTACCACACATCACTACAATCACCAATAAGGACAATACAAAGATATACATGTACATATCTAATGGTTCATTCACCATTGTCCGCTAACTTAAGCTGTTACTCTTAGCTTGGTCATAAATGTAACATGTCATGCAGACCTTTACTAGTTGAGCAACTAGTGCAAATGACTTCCATTAAAGAAACAGCACAGTTTTATTTGTGAGTGGTGCTTAAATTATATTCCATTACTTCTTCCTTTTCCACACCCAGTAGGCTAGAATAGAGAGCTAAACATTTAACACCTTCCCACCTGGCCTATAGCAGATTGCAGCCGGGCGAGGGGACACTCGCCATTGTGACTGGATGTCCTGTCAATATAAGCCACTCATTACAGTCACGGGGCCACTCAGCGGCGTAATCTGTCACTGGCTGTGTCCACGGGACAGACAGCCAATGACATATCACTGCACCCAGTGTCATGTGGACCATTGTGACCATTCACAGCAGATCACATGTCAGTTTATATACAATGGATGGCTTCCATTCATGCCTTGCCATCCATTGTATACTTCAATTATGTTGTTAGCTGTGACTGGTCAAGGCAGTCACATGATACAGGCAGGGCCAATCACAGCCCATCTGTATCATGTGATCAGCTTTGCCGAATTCACAACAAAAGACTGAATGAATCAGTTTAAATCAGTAACAATGATTGCAAATATCAAAGAAAATACATTGGTACCTGCAATCATAATGTGTTAAAGAAAAAAAAAAATCCTGATCACTTGCCAGAGTAGTTCAATGTTACTATGGTAACATTGAATTGCTTTGGTCACTGTGTGCTGAAAAAAATAAAATAGTTAGTAAAAAAGAAAAATGTAATAAAAAATACAAAAAACAAATAGAAAACATTTGAAATAAAAATACAAATTCAAATTATTTATTATTATTTTCACCAAAAGAAATGTAGCTGAATACATATTTTGACCTAAATTTATGAAGAAATGTTATTTATTTGCAAAATTGTATAACAGAAATGAAGAAAAAAAGTGTGTTTTTATTCAAAAAGTTTTCAGGTGTTTTTTGTTTTTATTTAGCAAAAAATAAAAAACTCAGTGTTGATTAAATACCTCCAAAAGAAAGCTGTATTTGTGTGAAAAAAATAATAAACATTTTCATATGGGTACAGTGTTGCATGACCGTGCAATTGTCATTCAAAGTGGTGCAACAGCACTGAAAATTGGCCTGAGCAAAAAGGGTGGCATAAGTGCCCGGTATTGAAAGTGGTTCAATAATTAATACAGTCATGGCCGAAATTGTTGGCACCCTTGATATTTTTTCCTGAAAATCAAGTATTTCACACAAAAAAGTTTTATTGCATTAACACATGTTTTGCTATACACATGTTTTTATTCCCTTTGTATGTATTGGAACAAATATAAAACAGAGGCAGAAAAGCAAATATGACATAATGTCACACAAAAACCCCAAAAATGGGCTGGACAAAAGTATTGGCACCATTTATTTAAATATTTGGTTGCACACCCTTTGGAAAACATAACTGAAATCAGTCGCTTCCTATAACATCAATAAGCTTCTGACACCTCTCACCCGGAATTTTGGACCACTCTTCCTTTGCAAACAGCTCCAGGTCTCTCTTATTGGAAGGACACCTTTTCCCAACAGCAATTTTAAGATCACCTCTCCACAGGTGTTCAAATGGGATTTAGATCTGGGCTCATTGCTGGCCACTTCAGAAATCTCCAGCGCTTTTTTGCCATCCATTTCTGAGTGCTTTTTGACGTATGGAACACTGTACCTTTAATTTTTAAATGCCCTTGGAGTCTGCTGGGGAAGAGAAATAATACTGTCAGTCAGTATGACATGCAGATGAGTGCCGTCGATCTTAGAATCACCGCACACTTTCACTCATTTGGGCAGTCACGGGGCCAAAACCAGAGTGTGGAGCCACAGTGTGGCGGTGGAGGCAGCAGCAGCAATGGGAGGCCATACAGCACCCTATGACAAAAATGGAAACCACCAGCAGTGTGAGGAGACCTGAAAGTGGCACATGGCAGAGTGTGGCGATAGAGACAGCAGCAATGGGAGGCCGTACAGGGACCCATGACACACTCTGGACCTGGCAGCAGCATGAGGAGGCGGTACAGGGGCCCATGACAGATTACGGGGCCTGGCAGCAGCAGCATGAGGAGTCGGTACAGGGGCCCATGGCAGATTACGGGCCTGGCAGCAGCAATGGGAGGCCGTACAGGGACCCATGACACACTCTGGACCTGGCAGCAGCATGGGGGGGCGGTACAGGGGCCCATGACAGATTACGGGCCTGGCAGCAGCATGAGGAGTCGGTACGGGGGCCCATGACACACTCTGGACCTGGCAGCAGCATGAGGAGGCGGTACAGGGGCGCATGACAGATTACGAGCCTGGCAGCAGCAACTTGGACAGGAGGACGTTCAGCTTCTGCACCGTCGGGTGCGTGCTCGCAAACTGTTGTCTCTTGGAAACGGATTCCAAGAAAGACTGCTGACGGAATCCGTGAAGAGGAGTAGCAGGAGAAGGAGCATCTGAACGAGCGGAATATGCCAACAAGCGACAACAGGGGCCCATGACAGATTACGGGCCTGGCAGCAGCATGAGGAGTCGGTACGGGGGCCCATGGCAGATTACGGGCCTGGCAGCAGCTATGGGAGGCCCGTAATCTGCCAGCACCCTATGACAAAAAAATGGAACCCACCAGCAGTGTGAGGGAGACCTGAAAGTGGCACATGGCAGAGTGTGGCGATGGAGACAGCAGCAATGGGAGGCCGTACAGGGACCCATGAGAGACTCTGGACCTGGCAGCAGCATGAGGAGGCGGGTATATAGGGGCCCATGGCAGATTAGGGGCCTGGCAGGCAGCAGCTATGGGAGGCCCGTAAATCTGCCAGCACCCTATGACAAAAAATGGAACACACACCAGCAGTGTGAGGAGACCTGAAAGTGGCACATGGCAGAGTGTGGCGATGGAGGCAGCAGCAGCAATGGGAGGCCGTACAGGGACCCATGAGAGACTCTGGACTTGGCAGCAGCATGAGGAGGCGGTATAGGGGCCCATGGCAGATTAGGGGCCTGGCAGCAGCTATGGGAGGCCCGTAATCTGCCAGCACCCTATGACAAAAAATGGAACACACCAGCAGTGTGTGAGGAGACCTGAAAGTGGCACATGTTTGGGGCATGATTCATGGCGGATTTAGTCAGTTGTGTCAGGAACTGGTGGTTTGAAATCCAGACTAATCCACGCCTGATTCATTTTTCAAAAACGTGAGTCTCTCCACACTTTTGGGTGGACAGTCGTGTCCTCCGCGGAGTTGCAATACCTCCTGCCGCACTAAACACGCGCTCCGATGCCACGCTATGGCCGGGCATGACAGCCTTTCAAGGGCAAATTCAGCTAGTTGGGGCCAAAGGTCAAGTTTCGTTGCCCAGTAGTCAAGGGGATTGTCTACCTCGGTTGGCAGGGGTGCTGTCCAAGTAGGCCTAAGCCTGTTGTTTGAGGTCCTGCTCCAGGTCCACCTGCTGATGCTGCTGCTGCTGCTGCGGCTGGTTAGTAGTTTCCTCACTGCGCTGGTGAAGAAAGCTACTCATCATCGACTGCAGACTGAGGCAGCCGCTGCTGGTGGAGCTGCCACTGCTCCTACCACCCCACCCCTCCCCTGCTGCCATGGCAGCGGGAACACGAGCGCACAGGGCCCACAGTGTCTGAGGATGGACGTTGGCGCAGACAGGCAGAGACCAGCTGACTACATAGGTGTTTTTTATAGTACGTTATTTTGGCCTCCCTCTCAGCAGGTGTGAAAAAGGCCACCATTTTTGAACGGTAGCGAGGGTCCAACAAGGTGGACAGCCAAAAGTCATCCCTCTGTCTGATGGTTATTATTCGGCTGTCGCTACGCAAGCAAAACCGAGCATGCTATGGGCCATTTGTGCCAAGGAATGCGAGGGGACTCCCTGCCTCCATCTCCACAGCATACTGCCACGGTGCGTCTAGGTCCTCTCTCTCTTCCTCTTCCTCCTCCTCTACCAGATGCTCCTGCTCCTCCACTCCTGTCCGCTGAGTGGAAAAACC